AGACTCCCCGAGTCCCCCGTCTCCTCAAGCCCCCGAGACGCCGCAAGCCCTTGGGACGCCGCAAGCCACAGGGACTCCACGAGGCTCAGTTCCACTTTGAGCCTCAGAGACATCTTGAGCCCCTGGTACCCCTGGATCTCTGGCATACTCGGGGTTCCCACGCACCCACTGACCAATCGGGGCCGTCCTAGCTGACGAATTGGCGGCCAGTGCCCAGAGGCCACCACTGGACATGCCCCAGCCGATAACCAGCCAATCCGCCGGTCTACCGTGTGGCCGTCTAAGTGGGCACCGTCTGAACTCTGTCAGAGCCTGAGGCAGAAGCTAGTGGGCAGCTGCGGGGAGGGTCCCTTACCCTCTTCATTAGACATTCTGAGTGGCGGTGCCTGGCTCTGAGCGCCTGAGGCTCGGCGTCTGCGCTGCGGCCCTGGAGCGACTGCTTCCACGAGGCGTCTGCAGAAGACTGAGACCCCAAATGGAAGGAGCGAGAAACTCGCTGCCTAAAAGAGGTTTTGCGACTGCGCAGTAGCGCACAGCGCGCCTGCGCAACTCTGGGGGAGGGGTGGTCGGGGCTATACCAAGTTTGGCGCCTTTCCTCTTCCCGCTTTTTTTAAGTGTACTTTTTAGGAAAAAAGTTATACATGTATACGTATGTGTGTGTGTGTATATATATATATATGAACCGGTAGCCAACTTAACATGTCTGACCTTAGCTGGTCCTCAACACCGTAAAAAGTCAGTGTTAGTGTCCCCTTTTTTTTTTTTTTGAGTCAGTGTCTCACTCTGTAGCCGAGGCTAGAGTGCCGTGGCGTCATCCTAGCTCACAGCAACCTCAAACTCCTGGGCTCAACTGATCCTCCTGCCTCAGCCTCCCGAGTAGCTGAGATTACAGGCGCGCACCACCACGCCAGGTTAATGTTTTCCATTTTTTAGTAGAGACTGGGTCTCGCTCTTGCTCAGGCTGGTCTCGAACTCCTGAGCGCAAGCAATCCTTCTGATTCAGCCTCCCAGAATGCTAGGATTATAAGCGTGAGCCGCTGCACCCGGCCCAGTGTCCCATTTTAAAGATGAGAAAACTGAAGTGTAGAAAGTTTAATTTTTCTCAAAACCACAGGGCTAGTGGCAGAGTTATGACTTGATCACTCCTATCAGCCCCCATAGCACATGCTAATGTCCACTATGAGATTTCACCTCTGGTTCAGTTGCATCTGGAAATTCTTCACATCCTTCTAAGCCTGTCCCAGTGCTACATCTGTTCTAATAATACCTCCACCAAGACACTTTCCTGTAGCCCCCAGTAAGATTGAGTCAGTCACTTCTCTAGGATTCCACAGCAAGTAACATTCACCTCCCTTTTAGCACCTAAATTACTTTACCAGATATTAGAAATCCTTGTCAACATGCTCCTCTCCTTCTAAGTTTCTGGGGAGCAGCACCATGTCTTATTTATATCTGAACACCACCTCCCTCACAAGATTCTAAGAATTAAATGTTATAAAATATAAAGCACCCAGCCCAGTGAGTGGGATTTCCCTGCCATTTCCTCACTATGTCATGCTGGGAGTTAGCTACTCTCCCAACAAAACAGGTCCCAGGCAGGATCGTCACAAGAGATTTGGAAATAATAGAGGCAGAGACAAAGTGTAGTTTAAAGTGATGGAGAAGTGAGGGGTCCTCCAGCATTCCCATGAGCCAGTAGGCCCTGAGTGAAGTCCCACATCAGTATTTATTGGTACAGCAAGTAGTTGTCCTTGGTCATAGAATTATGTGTACAGATTATTCGTTTAGGTTTTAAGGCCCCCCAAAGGTTTCAAGAGATCCCTTACCTAATTCTATCTACAAGAGTAAACAGTTACAAAATTTTTCCAAGATAAACATTTTAAGCCCTAAGTTAAGAATAGACCTAGCTGAGCATACAAGTTAAAAATAAAAATGTATAAAACAGGAACACCAAGCCTACATACTTATCTAATCTATTTCTCTATATACCGAGACATGTGGTCAGGAGTGAAACAGAAATAGTCTTGAGGTTTATGATAGTTCCAGCTGCAGGTTGTCTGCTGGACTGACATCCCTCAATCAGTTTCTTAGCCTTGGGCCCCATGCTGAGCTCTGCCTTACACAAGCTCCAGGTGCTGGCTTGCAGGCCTTGGGATCCACACTGCCTTGCAGTCGCCCCTGATTGGTGAAATGCCCCCCTTTTTTGCTAAGTACCATTAAAGAACATTATAAAGTTAACAATTATTCAGCTAGAATCTGAGAAAGGCCAGAAACCTAAAGAGGTATTAAAAGCTCAGAGGACTGCTTTTGCTCTTGGACATTTACTGACCCAGGAAAGGCCAAAAGAGGCTGAGCTACAAGGTGGCTTTGTGAGACTGAGGGATGAAAATCACAACCTGAGACCCACCAAGGGAGGGGAGTTGGTAAACCACCCCCTGCCTTGGACTGGGACCACAAAAAGACTTATCTTCAGAGTAAAAGTGACCCAAAATTAACCAACAGTTAACCACGTGGCCCATAGTTTACCCTCATGTACCCTGGGGATTTAGCATGCCCAGGCATCTGGCATAAAACAAACAAAAAATCTCTCTTGCAAAGATAATGTCAACTTATTTCTACAAAGAATTTTTATTTTTCTGTTTTTCACAAGTAATTTTTAAATAGAATATCCAGCACAAAGTGAAATATAACCAAATACAGGAGAAGATAAGATAGCAGAGAAAGGAGAAATAAAAACATCTATGCTGGGGGGACAGAGCTTTCTGCAGTACCCCCTCCCACCCCTCAACAGCCACAGGGAGCTTCCCGACCGGGCAGTGCTGGCACAGGCACCTGGCTAGCGACCTCGGTCCTCTGAAGGAAGCCAGTTCTGTCAGCATCTTAATGACATCGGTGGGAAAGACCCCGACCGGAAATCCTGGAGGGTCCAAATTTTCATAAAGGAGCCTCCTCACCCTGTATTCACGGGAAACGGTGTCGCAGCAAAGCCTGGGCGACAGGCTCCCCGGCCTATGACTTTGTCACACGCTAAAGTGAAAGCAGGGGACACCACACACTGCAGCGTGTGGATCCGAGGTGATCCGAGGCCTCAACATCTCTGGGGACAAGATGAACAGAGCAGGGAAAGGTTGTTGGGGGTCTTGGGATATGGCCGAGGGAAGAGGGGGACACATACTCCCAATGGAAGCTAGAGGGGACAAGTGGTGGGGACACAGGACAAGACTGGCAGGCCCTGCCCTGGAGCCGAGGGAACGGGGGGCAGGCAAGGGCCCCCCGCTCACGCCCGGCACTGGTCACTCTGCCACACGCCTGGTTCTCCACCAGGCTGCACCCGGGGTCAACAGGGGAGCTGTAGAGACTCTTGCCGCCCAGCCTGGGCCCAGAGAGTCCCACTTGGCCGGTCGGGTGTCGCGCTGGGGCTGAAAAGCTCCAGGGTATCGCCACGGACAGCCAGGCCGAGATCCGCCGCCCTGCCCCACGCGGTGCCTCCTCGGGACCGCGACACTCTGCGTCACGCCGACCCGGCAGGTTCACGCGGTCAACCCGGTGCATGTCTAGCTGAAGCGCGGGCCGAGCCTGCGGTGCCCGCAAGAAGAGGATGAAGTGACTTGAATGCAGCCTCGCAACACAACGGCCACGGGACAGGGAAGGGACACGGCGCGCTCACTGGCGGGATTGACCCTCACCACGTGCCAGGACCGGGCGTTCCCGTTCTGCTCCAGTCCGCCTGCCGCAAACCCGGGCGACTTCTCAAGGCGCCGAGGGTCGCCACCCGCAGCGGGGAGCCCCTGCGTCACCCTCCCCGCGGCTCTGCTGGCGGCCCTGGGTGCTCAGCCGAGTCTTTGGCTCCAAGGGCATGTCTGACAAACCTGTGTTTTCCTTGTAAAGACAGAGAAAGGCCCAGAAGAGCCGTGGAGCAGCGCGAGGCTGCGTCCTAGTGGCTGTGAAAGCTGCGTGCCATGGGCTCATTGACAGAGGTGCATGTGCCTCTGTGCGTGTGTGTGCGTGTGTGTCTGTGCATGTGTGCGCATGCGTGTACATGTATGTGCGTGTGTGCATGTGTCTGTGCATGTGTGCACGTGTGTGTACATGTGTGTGCCTGTGTGTGTGTGTGTGTGCGTGTGTGTGTGAGAGAGACAGAGAGGCGGGGGGGAGACGGAGATGGATGGGGCTGAGAGAGACACCAAGAAGGGGACAGAAATGAGCCCGGGACAGAGTGACAGGCTGCCACCTCCCCATTTTTGTATTACCTACAAAAGGGTAGCCCTGGGTGAAGTAAAATTTGCCCCAAAACTCCAGTCTGTCTCTTAGGCCAAGTCTAGGACTGAGGCCCCTGGGGTGGGGGTGTCCGGAGATCGGGGTGCCCCGGGTGTGCCCTGGGAGTAGCAGGAGGTGGCAGCAGCATCCAGCTGGAGGAGGCCTCCCGTTGAGGGCCAACCTTGGCTGTCACCTCCTCTGACACTGTCAGGCCACCTGATCACCACCAGTTGCACGACTCCAGGACCCACATCTCACTTGCCTCCTTCCTGGTGCTGAAGCAAATCCCACGTCACTTTCTGATGGCTCATGCGTCCTCCTCTGGCGCCCATGTTTGGGTGGAGGGACAGTGCGCACCATCCCGCCCTTTCGCATCCCCAGGAGGGCAGGCCGCAGCACACTCTGCCCTCCCTCCCAGCCCAGAACTGCCGGCTCCTGAGGCCTCAACAGGGAGTCTGCAGCCTCGAATCCAGATCACACACGGTCAAGGTTCCTGGTTGCCTTTCTGCATTCTTAATCTTGACATTTCAATTCTGAGAAAGCAAATGGGCAAGGCAGTCGTTAAAAGGCTCTAGGCAAAAGTTCAACTAATATGCTGCAAAAAAACTAATTTCTCAGAGCTCAGGCAAGCTTTAAAGTAATTTCTTCTATAATTTTAAAGAGAAGGGTAGCTGTGCTTAACCATTTGCTCACTGTAATTAACCCAACAACTGGGGCTACACTCAGAGGGAAACCTAATCCCCTGAGAACAGCCCAAAAAGGCAGGGTGAAATTGCTGGACTTGACCCCAAGGAAAATACATGGATGGGATGTACAGCCAGGTGCTGGACATAGTGGATGGTCAGTTCCCGCTTGTGAGAGCTCCCCGCCCCTCCCCCAAGGGCTGCCAGAATGATCTGTCTACGCGTGTGACCATCCCAGTTATAATCCTTTCATTGCTTCCCACAGCTCTTGGGATCCCACCCAAAGCTGACCCAGGGTCCTTCCTGTTGCAGGCCCTGCTCAGCTCTCCAAGTTTCCCCAGTACCCATCCTGTGTTCCAATCATGCACGACACCTGTGGTTTCCCAAATACTTCTAGATTGTATAGCCTGGCAATGACCTGGAATGCAGGGAATCTGTGTTGAATTCTAAGTGTAGCTCCAAGTGCTCCAGTGGTCAGCTGGGCAGGGGATAATGTGAAGATGAAGAACTTGAACCCAAACCAAAGTGAACTAAGAGAATGCTCACAGGCAGAGTCAAGATTCTTCTGAGAAATTTGGAGTTTGCTCTATCCCACAGGTAAATAAATGTCCATTCAAGATCCCAAGTTTCTAGGCCAAAGTCTTAAGATCTTATTCTGGCAGCACACAGCTCAAACTAGTGCTGCTAGCACATTTTGTTTGGCCTATTCTCGTATATTTAAGCCTATGGGGTTTTTTGTTGTTGTTGTTGTTGTTGTTTTTTTTTTTTTTTTTTTTTTTTTTTTTTTTTTTTTTTTTTTTTTTTTTTTTGGAGACAGAGTCTCACTCTTTTGCTTGGGCTAGAGTGAGTGCCATGGCGTCAGCCTAGCTCACAGCAACCTCACACTCCTGGGCTCAAGCAATCCTCCTGCCTCAGCCTCCCGAGTAGCTGGGACTACAGTTAAGCCTATGTTTTAAAATTGGGGGACTTCACATTAAAATCTGCATTTCCACTTTGTTTTTAAAAATGGGAAGATCTGTAACATAAGGCACAAAATCTTGCATGGCAAAAACTGGAAATGATTACTACCCTCCTTAGGGGCAACAGGTGGGCTCCAGCCAGACACAGCCCCCTCCAGTCACCTGCAAACACTTATGCACTATACCCAAGGAGCTTCAGTCAGGCCACCAACCTGGCCCAGCCTGAAAGCACGTCTGCAATCGTTTTAGCCTGAAAAATGTTTAAAGCCTGTTGTAGAAACAATGCCATGTGTATCACCAAGTCTTTTCATTTTCTTCTTTCTCTTCTTGGGAAAACCACTCTTTGAAGCTCTTTTGTACCTAACCAGGGTCATGTGATTACTTCTACCAGTGGGCTCTGAGTAGGAGTGCCACATATCACCTCTGGGATAAGGCAACAAGAAGACCCTGAGCTACCTTCCAGCATCTCTTTTCCCTTGATGTGATGATCTTGCAAGCCATGTGTTAGAATAGCAGAGCCACACAAAAGCAGCAGCAACTATAGAGGACTAGACTTTGCCTGAGAGAACAAGCAAAGCCACTGAGATTTCAGGGTTTGTTTGTTACTGCAGCATAACATAGCTTATCCTTACCAATATGAGCATATTGACCAAAACCATATCTTAGGCAGTTTGCTTATTATCACATAATAATAAGGCTTAAAATCCTTTGCACTACAGTCGTGAGTATATCCATTTTGCAAGTAATGCAAACATTTGGCAATGCCTGCAGTGGAACTCAATGGTGATGGTCACCATTCCCTGTCCTGGCCAGTGCCTCTCGACAGTCTCCTGGTTGGAGGGATGCTCGTATATCACTGACTGCCCCAGGTATCTCAGGAATGGGTATATTAAGGCAATCCTTTCTGACCAGAGTCATTTCTTATGTACCTGCACTTTTTTTTTAACAGAAGAAGTGTTGCTATTGATTTCCCAAGCATCCATGCTAACCTTTTGAAATATGTTGATACATAAATTAATAAAGCAAGATGCAACATTAAAAACCAGTATTCCTTACTCAATGAATATTTCCAAATGGTGATATTCATATGCTTATTATATATTATAGCCAAACTTCCCACATAGAAATGGGATATGCACTCAGCAAACAGCGGGAAAATATTTTTAAAGGAATAAAAGGAGGAAAAAAAGAAAAAGAAGAAATAAATTGACGTATACATACATAACTGCCCTCCCCCCAAAGCATAATCAGTAACTCCTTATTCTTCCTTGGAATTGACCTCATTCAGTCATACACAAACACTGAAAGACAAGTGAAAACAAGACCCAGGTACGCCACAACCGATAAGATCTAAAAATAACTACCAGAGCAGGTCGCACATATCAAATATTTCATGCACCAAGAAGAAATTTTGCATATTTTCATTTTTAAGAAAGTACATTCACTCCTTCAAAATCTCACTGGGACTTTAGACAAAGATTTCCACAGTTGAGATCTGACAGATCAGAACTTTAAACAGAACCAGCCATCAAGAATTTCCTATGCATCCACAGGTAACAGACAACTTTCCATCTGATTCCGTGGTTATCATCAGTGGAGGAAAGGAATTAGGAGAAAAGGCTTGGCAGTGAGGTTTGTAATCATTGTGTAATAATTAAATACAATTTTTGCCTTTAAAACAAAGTAGAAAAAGCAGAAAGTCACTGATTTAGTTATGTATTGCTGCATAACAGCAAACATTCGTTATCTCGCAGTTTTTGTGGGTCAGAAGCCCAACCCCAACTTAGCCAGGTGGTTCTGGCCCAGGATCTGTCATGAGGTTGCAGTCAAGCTGGCCAAGTTCTCATCTGAAGATTCAATGGGTGATGGGGTGGGAATCCATTTCCAAGCTCACCTGCAAAGCTGTAGGTCGCCCTTGGACCTCACATGGCCAACTCTTCAAGGACAACAAGAGATTAGGCCAAGAGGGATAGACAGAATCAGCAGTGTCCTGGAGAAGGCAACAGAACCTGACGACTGACAGTGTGTGTGTGCGTGGGTGGGGAGAGAGAGAGGGAGGGAGAGAGATCAGATACCTAGTTTATGCTGCCTATTGAAATTTCCAAGGGGACTCCAATAAGTATCACCCCTCTTTCCTCTGCACCCAGATTCTGAAAAATTGAGACGTAAAAGAGTAAAGATGGTGGCTAAAATATCATCTTTCTCCTACCGAGGTAAGTTAGAGGACACAGCTGAGTGGGAGAGAACAAGGAGCCTGCAGGAGGATTCCAGCATTAGCCAGACACACCCACCCAGAAATCCCACCCTGCCAGCAGTCTTTCTCCCAAGGAGAATAAGGCAGAGCTGGACAAAACATTGCCAGCTCTTCTTCCCAAATTCACTGATGGGAAAAAATTCCTCCACTTCCCCAGGGTGGAGTGAGCACAATGGAGATGGAGGCCTATAATTCAGCTGCCTTCACAGTCACAAAAAACCCAGGGCACTGTGTGAACACAGTCCACTCTGATATAGGGAATCCTCCAGGCCCCATTTCACAGACAGGGAGACAGAGACTAAGACTCCACAGCTAGTGACTCCAACACCTTGCTCAAATTTATTTGGGAAGGAATTTAAAGTCTTCTTTGCTGTCAAGGCCACGCAGCTGCTTTCCTGGGGGCTCTGGTGCAGTCGGGGGCAAGCTCTGGACAGGACATAGAAAAGGAAGTGGATGGCCAGGCACGGTGGCTCACACCTGTAATCCTAGCACTCTGGGAGGCCGAGGCGGGC